TATATATGTTTAAATATTTAATATAATTAATAAAACATATTGTATTTACAATTTGATAATAAAACCACAGACATGTAAAAAATTGTAAATCAAATTGGTGAACATCAAAATCCAAGCAACAATTCAACATCCAACATAGAAAAGTTCCGTTTATGTCGTTCTATATTGGACATCTGAAATACGATCCAAGAACGTTATTTGGACATTCTGTACTAAAGTTATACACAGATAGGGATGTCCAAGGTATATCGAATATGTTCAGTTTTTAAGCAGTGCACGACATCACCACTAAAGGAATATAGTGAAGTTTAATTACTCGTATTTAAAAAAAACCATATTGAATACGATAAAGGGCAGAGTATGGGTGCGTTCCATTTCACGCATGACATATCATTTATTCTTATTGTTTACCGAATTTTAAATAAGGATAAATGATGCACATCATGCATGAAACGGAATACACCCTATGAAGATCCAGGTAGCAGCAGATATCCGTCATTATGACGTGATGGTCACGTCAAAGGAGGATGCTCACGATATAGGAAAGGGGGGTTTCTTGACCTAGAGATGGAACCTCCGAAACTGATAAATTTAGAGTATGATGAAATCCATCGCCCTTATCAAATTCCACTTTTTTATCGGTGGGAAAGTTAAAAAAAATCATATTTGAAGTTTTACCGAAGTGATGACGTGGAGACGTGAGAGGCAGAGCGAGGCAGTGAGAGTGGAGAGGGAAAGCCCTCGACTTCCAGCGCTTTAAACATGACTTTTTTTAATTTTCTCCGCCGATAAAAAAGTGGAATTTGATATTAGGCAATAGATTTCATCTCTAAATACTCTAAATAAATTTATCATATATAGATATTTATCGGTTTCAGAAGTTCCATCTCTAGGGCAGAAACTCCCCTATACCGTGGGCATTTCCCTTTTACGTCATTTATTCTCAAAATTTATTCTAAAAATGACGTGTTTTTGACGATTCTAAATCATAGACCAAAAACGTCATTATAGTAACGTCAAATAGACGTTATTTTAACTTACAAAATGAATGAAATGAAATTCTTTAATTATAGTTAACTTATATATGCATACATAGGATAAATTTATATGTATATGAAGGATAAATTTAACGTCCATCACGTTATTATTGCAAAGGCTTATTGACGTGTTAAAATTAACGTCGAATACATGTCACTTAATTGACGTCAGTGACCAATTGTGACCAAATATTGACGTCAAAATAACGACAGGTGCTATCTGAAGAGATTTCTCAGTGAACAATTTGTATCCCTTATTTTAATAAAATGACGTTGAGATGATGCCTTAAGGATGAGTCTCCATAATTAAGTACCAAGATGAAAGTTAATTTTTGATAGTTCTCTGACATTGTTGACGATGATTGTTCGATGTTCTTTTTTTCCAAAAATTTATAAAAATGTATAAAAAAAGAAGAATATTTTCGAAATTAATTCTGTGTGCTATTGAGGTTGGACGTACTAACGTCTATTAGACGCCTTTATGCGTCCGTATATTATTATACATACGAAAGATGTTTATATCCATGTCTCTTTGGGACATACTTGATACGTCTATGTATATTAAAATCATGCTTTGGTTGTATACAAAAGATATTATCCGTAATTACAATAACCAGAAATTCTGTTTATTTTATAAGTTTTAATATGTTCGTTTAATTATTGTTAAGGGTTTTTATTTATTTTAAGACACGGCTGAAGAGAATCAAGTACGGTCGAAACGTTCCGTGAAGTGATAGAAAAAGTAGAATAAAGAATTAATGTTTACATCTTGTAAAGGTCGTTTATTTCATTGACCTGATAGAAGCCTCTTATTTTGCCGTTTATTTTTACTAAAATTTGCTTAACCAAACATATCTTATTAATTATAATTATTTTTTTCCTGTGGATACTTGTCAAATTTTTTTTTAAGAGTACTATCGTTATTCAATGAAGACAAAAGAAAAACTTGTTATCCAAAAGAATAAATATAATATTAGGATTGTAGCGACTAAATATAAATTCGCGTTATAACTTTATTTCGAGCAGCTTGTATTACGCTTTCTATAGATAATTCGGGACTATTATCCGGACACATTTTAATGATAGCTAAAAAATCATGGCTAAGAGCTTAATTTCCCCATTTCCGGGATATGTAAAATTTCGACAAGGTTACAAAAATATTTTGTAACACTTCCGACGCGTCTTATATTTAGTCTTCATATTTATTATGCCGCATTTATTCTTTGTTCGAATATTTTTGCTTCGACAAGAAATATATATATATATATATGCATTATTTTAATGTTACCTAATCTATGGCTATGAAATATTTTTACACAAAAAACTTTTCAGGTAATAAAAATAATTTCATATCACGATGTAAGTTACGCGGTTACGTAGAAGATATAAAAAGTCTGTCGCGGCGTATTTGAATAGACTAATGGATTTCCTAGAATATTCACCGGATATCCGTGCATATTTTGATTGAAAGTTCTGGACGACGTGGGGATCAAATATAGATCGTGAGCGGGTGATTAGAGTGGACAGTAAATAAAGTACCAGGACACGAGCGGTAAGAAATTGTACCGAGGCGCGTTTTGGTACCGCGAGGTCGTATTCGCGGCTCACCGGGATGGCTCGTTCGCGATTTCCCGGCTCGCATGAGAGTCACGAGAGTTGACAGCCTCGAGAGAAGAAGAAAACGGTTGCCGTCTGGCGCTGTACCGACGTAAAGAAACAAAACGGAGCGGAAGTGGAAGATATCTATCTATAGCCCGGCGTGATGCGACGACGACGCTCGTCGTCGTCGTCAGCGAGCGACGTGTCAGCAAAAATTACGAAAGCACATTATTGCAATAGGCTAGCAATTCTTAAATTATAATGGTAGCTGTCTTTACAAGCCGATATTCTTTTCGTTATATCATAGCTCGTTAAACGCAAAAAAAAACTTCGTAAAAGCGAAGGTCAAACGCAGGGATATAATTCCTCTGACGTAATCTACTCATTTAAATTTTATCATGCAAAACTCTGTACCTTTCGCAATTTAAGTGACTTTAATACATAATTAAAACGCCAACTACGATTATATTAATGAAACTCTAAGAAGTAGATCAGGGCATTTATTATGGAACTGTTCGTAATGTTTATGGATTCTTGGAAATTGTTTCGTTTTCCCTAGAAAATACAATTGAAATTTAAGGAATAATTAAATAATTCTGACTGAAGTCCATTTGGAATAATTCCATAATACATATTCTATTTAAGGATCGATCACGCTTAGTAATAAATTGAAAATGTTATTTCTCTTTTAATTCCAAATATATTCGGACACTGTAAGATTTATATTTTACGACATCTTTTCTTTCAGATCAATCTTTTTTTCTTTTCAATAAATTATTTTTTAATTTTTATTTTTTTTTCACGTATTTATATAGAATTACGCGCTCCTAGAATTAGATATCTTCTGCTATCTCTTGTATAAATTCGCAACCTATTTTAGGATTCGTTACGTTACGTTCCCGTTTCCGTTTTCTTTTTCGTTTTAGAGGGCCTATTCCCTGCCGGCACGGACACACACTCCTACCTCGCAGAATCGTGCTAATTTACGTCGAAGCGTCAGAAACGAGCCGCCTCCGCAACCGGCGCGCCTGGATAAGCATCGTCGCGGTTGGACATTACACCTGGCTCGTCCCCTAAAGGCATCCGGATGCTCAAGCCCGCTCATACCCCTGCTGATCGTCGTGTTGATCCTGCTGGGGGTCGCAGGAGTCGCACTGTACATCGTCTTCGGTAAATAAATCTTTATTTTATTTACTCTCGATGTTATTATTTTATTTCCTTAATTGTTTGTTAAGTGGAAAATCTGAAGTTTTCGAACGTACGATATATATTCTTTCGTGAATGTTTTTTATTTTACAATCTGGATTTTTTTTTTGTTAAATGCGTAAATAACGAAGATCTGTTGTTCATTTTTACAGAATTTTCTGAAACGTGAAAACGTTTCTTCTAATATTTGCTTATTAAATAAAAATTATTTAGTTTCAGATCACTGAAAAAAATATTTATCGAGATCTTTAGAATATTGTAAAATAAAATAACTGATCGAAATTAAAAAAATGTATCTAGATAGTACAATATATACGTATATCTAAAATCAGAACATAAGACATTTTTTAAGATGTTTTTAAGACATCTATACGCTTCGACTTCGACATGTGTGCTTCCTGGATATTAAACTTTATCTCATTTTACGGTAGTTTATTCACAAGATCCCAAGCAAGATGCTTATTCCTTATTTGTTTCGTCGTTGTTGTTTCGTCGTTAATTCATTTAAAAATCAAGAGAGATTAAATAAAACGCATACTGGAATTGCGCGCGCGTTTTACTGCTTATATAAAGTAATAGCAGTAACTCGATGAAGGTTTAATGGAACGTTAGAAATAGTTCGCTGGATAGATATATACGTTTGTCAGAATGAAATATTATTCCCGAGATTAATCGTTCGATCAGAATGTTTATTGATCTATCATATAGAAGCTTAATTCATCTCGCGCTCATGCTGACTGCGTATTAGTTCACTTCCGTATCGCCGAAGTGTATAGTATAGATACTTTAAATCTACTCTGCAATATCTTTGTTTCTCAGAGATTTTTCATTTTTATTACGAAAATCCAATGAAATTCCATTATTTCTTTCTTCAATTTTTGCCTACTCTTTGATCTATGATATTACAACAGTTTTACTTTGAACATTGTTATTAATACATACTATCTATCATCGTTACAATGATATTAATGATATAGAGTTCCTTGATAGTTTACGATAATATAGAGCTTAATGACAAATTTGCAAGTCTTCATTGTTCGAAGGTATTATTCTGTGCGAAGGGGCTTGCGTGCCGGGACATCATATATTAGCCAGGAATAAACGATACACTCGCCATCGCCGGCGCCGTCGCCTTATCGTTCGGGCAATTAAAAGTATCTGCATCCCGCCAGCTGACGGCCGAGGTTTAATTCGACGCAAAGCGTGGCAATTGCTTCAACGAGATGAATTTAACCGCGGGGTCAACAGAACGTTTCCTCCGACCGTGTCTGCGCGCTCGGTCGATCGCGCTGAAGCGCGGCCGCGAGTACTATGTGCGATGAAAAGTGGCGAGAATCAACGATCGTGTATTTCGCGAACGTTCCGTATTATGTCTGGAATCTCGAGGTTCGAGAGAGAGAGAGAGAGAGAGAGAGAGAGAGAGAGAGAGAGAGTTTCTCAGGCTGTACTTTCAACCCTTAACGGCGCAAGACCGAGAACAGAGAAGCTTTCATTCTCATTTTCTATTTTCCACCTTCAACTCTTTGTTTTCCAAAATTAAGAAAAATCGAGGAAATGCTATCTTATTATTTGCGAATTTCTTTTTTCTATTTTATTTCTCTCTTTTGTGTAATAATAAATGGGTTCATTAGGTTTTTCGGTTCTTTTGTATAATAAAAAAAATTCAAAAGTTAAGAAAAGAACAAAAGAGAACGTAATTTTACTTTCTTCAATTTGTTTTTCTTGTATGTCAAAAATGCACAAATGCTCTTTTAACGAAAATTCAATTAAGCTTTGTTTGTCCCCTGACAAAATTTTTGAAAACAAAACAATGGTTCAAATAATTGGGAAGAAAACACGATATGATATGTACTTTTGTGTGATTTTTGAGGGCTCTTTTCACGTTACAGTACGATTGTTTATTCTTTTGATACTGATAATTGCATTTGTTGATGTCTCAACCGCGTTTTTTTTTTACGATATATTAATTAATTAATTTGTACTTTCGTTGTCGCGATAACGAGCTTTTTCAGTCGCGATGATTGATCGCGTCACGCCTCCTTTTTTTCAGAGCCCGAGAAGCTCCAGATTATTCAGCAGTACCTGAAGTCGTCGACGAGCAGGTTGACGGGGCAGAACGTTACTTCCGGTGAGCCGATCACGCCCGCGAACGACGAGTCAAATCTGACTGCGACAACCGATACGATGACGTTAACATCGATGACAGACATAGAAGAAACGTTTGCTGGGGGTATGTTTACCATGAGCGCCCCTACAAGCGGCAATCTGTCATTTCCGGGAAGCACTTCGCCGTCAAACGAAGGCGTGGAAACGGAAGCTGCGAGTCAGAACGTTATTAATGCGACGAGATATTGCGATGATTGCTTCGAGGGCGAGGTGTGCGTTGCCATCTTCGGCGAAATGGTGCCGATATGTAGGAAAATCCGTAACCACAATGATCCCACCGGATGCGGTGGTTTTTGCACCTTGAGTAGACAGAAATGCCATCGTCTCGACGTGGATGCATTCAGGTTTGTCACAGCTTTTTTTTTATTGATAGCGTTGGAATTCATTCATTAGGTATTGGTAGATAGCAATCGGTAGATTATTTCTAAACGTCGATCATTGACAAAGTGTCTTTATTAGACTCAAGAGAAAACAACAGCTCTTATTATTATCATTATATACAATTCTTTCATTATTAATAATTTAATACTGTATTATACTAATATTATATTAATAATTTAATTATCATAATTCTTATTTTTTAATTTTGTGATTGTTATAATTATTATATGATTACATTATGTACTCCTATTTTATAATCTTATAAAATACAAAATGTGCGACATATGTATTACTTTTATTATTAACATTCTTTAAAACATATTTTTATAGAAGATATCTTATATATGAGTTATGTAAGAACAGCTATGTAAATGATAAGTATGGTGTTTGTGTAGAAAACTATGATAAATCATTAGTTTTATTATTCTCATCTTTTAGATATGCAGAGATTTAATTAAATTAATTTCATTCATTCAATTTAATTTATAATCAATCTGTCATCTATTCTAACGAGTTTTTTTATTTTATTAAAGATGCGAAAGAGTCGAACGCTTTTTCTGTTTGGAGAACGAATGGACTTGCTCCAACACGTTGTGCATCCCCTTGGATAAGCGTTGCGACGGGCATATGAATTGTTATGATCATTCGGATGAGTATGATTGCGGTAAATATAAATTAAAAATTATAGTTGAAACGATCTATGCATTTGTTTCCCTTTAGACTACGAGATTTGAAACAATAGGATTTTACAACATTTTGTTACAAATGAGTTTTGAGATTGCTTTCCATATACATACTACGGGTACTTTCTGTAATTTCTATTCGGAAGCTATGCATTTCGCGGATTAGCCTCGATGTGAACCGTAATGTTTGCAAAACGTTAGCATTTAATAATAAATATAGACTCAGAGATAACCCATGGATTTTCAGATTATTTTGCATTTTATTTAGCCTTTTATTTAGCCTTAAATGGCAAGATTTTAATACAAATCTGAGATTTTCTTTTCTTTTAATGAAAATGATGAGTTTTGTAGTGAGAAATATTAATTAAGTGTTTGGATTATATTGTAATTCATAATCGTGATAATTATAAAGAAAAGCGGAGAATTACATACGCTTAAAAAAGTATTATATAATTATATGAAAAATATAACTAAATAATGTGAATATTACTCACTCGTAATCTTGATTATTGCAAGCCGGTCGTGTCCATCCACATGCAATTTGTCTCTTGTTAAAATATACCGCATTGCCCTAGTTTGTAGTGACCTATAACTTTCTGTTATCGGCTTTTCTTCTTTACTGTTATTTGCGAGGCTTCGATTTGCCAGTTTTTACTTCGGTATCGCTCCAATCATATTTTCTGCATTAAAGCCAAAGCACAATTCCGAATTAAAATCATTCGATATCGATTGATGGAATTTAATAAAAAGTGATATAAATTACGAATGCCACATGATTGAGTTAAGATATGCAAGTCGTAATGAAATACAAACATACAAAATTCTTTTCTAAGATAAAGAAATTTTATCGCAGCTTTGACATATATATTTACAGAATTATAAGCATGTAAAATTATTTTTAAAAGTCATTCAATGTTCGTTTTCACGATTGAGACGGATTGACACTTTTATGATAAATTATGTTTATAATTTATTATAAAAGAATTCAGCAATTCGCTCATTTGATTTTATATCGCCTTGCGATATTTAATATGGATATAGAGATATGCAAATATAAAGTACACGAAGCAAGTAGAATACGATGTTATCAGATAGTAATACATGTTCTTTTTCAGTCTGCAATCTGGAGACGCATTTTCAATGTGGTAACAAGACTTCCTGCCTTCCGCTGGAGAGGAGATGCGACAGAAAGATAGATTGCTGGGACGCAACTGACGAGATTAATTGCACGTTAGGTGAGCATTCCAGCGTTTTATTGCGATAATGGTAGTCTGAGATGTCGTAATATTCAAATGAAATGTACAAACAAAAATGTTATGCTACACGTATATGATAAAAGAGCAATTTTCTTAAGATTGTTTGTAGGGACGTAAATTCTGATCTAAAATTTAAAAAATCCATCAAGCAATGCGGTGCCTTATATTTATTAAGTATTCCTTTAGTCGCACTTGTTTAAGTTTTGTTGCAGCAAATTAGATGCTGTGATAAAAATATTATCGTTTTTTTTTTCAAAATCAATAATATTTTTCAAAATATTATTTGCAATAAGGGTTTACTTTATGTTTTGTTCTTGAGCATTTCTCAAACACTCTTCGGGCATATCTCCAAGACATTTTAATGTTCTTGCAAAATACAGACAAAAAGAAGATAGGACATTTTGTACAAAATTATAAACAGAAAAGTTATTCTCTAGTAGTTCTCCTTTTACATCGCTTGGTGAACACCCTTTTTATACCTTTTGTTCTTTGTTTCTTTTATAGGTCATGATCTTGGTTGGTGTGAGTACATATTTATATTTGAAATGCATGTATATTTTGTATAATTTCTGCACGCTGAATCCTTAATAATGCACAATTTCATTAATAGAACGATGAAATTGTTTATACGGTTTCTCGTATAATATTAACGTTAGATTTTGATATACCTACAAACTAACTCAAATTTTTATTCAAAGAATGTATTTATATTTATTACTTATTATATACATCTGGGATTCGAATACTAGTTAAAAAAAACTCATAGATAAATACAGTTAAGTTTCCTGTATAAATATGAAAATAATTTAATATACAAATTTATAATTCATTTGTTAAATATTCAAGGCAGTTGATTTTTTAAAAGAGTAACTTAAATTCCAGCAAAATTAAAATTAAAAATCTCTTATTTCGAGTTACTGAATATTTGAACAAAGGCAAATTGCCGAAAAAAAAAACTAGTTTAAATAATAATTTTTATTCTCGATTCAGTTTGCTCATTGGAAGACGAATTTACTTGTATCAATGGGGAATGTATACAGAGAGATCGGTTTTGTGATGGGCTGGCGGACTGTAGCGATGGAACAGATGAACCTCATGGATGCCAAGGGCGATGCAATAAACACGAATTTACATGCCAGTAAGTTAATATTTTAAATTTTCTCTGTGTATAACAGATAGAAAGAAAGAGAGATGTAATAATTAAAAAAAACATTCTCATTAAAAAGATCTATCTTAGAATAGATGTTTTTTTCTTTTCGTGAAATTAAATTTCTCTTTTTTTAAATTTTTTTCTATTCTTAACATGTTCTCTACCAATTTATTCTTACCAGATCTAACAACTTTATTTATGGATTATTAAATAATGAACATTTTAATTTTTTCTGTGAAATAACTATTGTAACTGTATCATTGAATGTATCGAATATTTTAACATTTTGATATTTTTAAATATATTTCGATTTTTGTCGAAAGGAATTGAATTTTTGAATTTAGTACATCATATATTTTTAGATCTTGGAAAAAATAAGAATGTTTTTACAAAGAGAACAGAAAAAAATTTGCAAAATTTTAATTCAAATATATTGTTTTATACATATAAAATTTTTCTATTGTACAGAAACAGTAGATGTATTGCGAAAAGAATGAAGTGCAATGGGTTTGACGATTGCGGAGATGGCTCGGATGAGATACACTGCAAAGACCGGTTTATTTAGTATTTACACATGAAGGAAAACATTGCCAATCAGAGAGAGAGAGATCAAATGCAGTATTTTATACAAATAAATGTACGTAATGTATATAGCTTGTTGTATAGAGACAGAAATATGAGACAAAAATATATATATTAAATCGATTTATTTATTGAATCTAGTACTATATATCCTTTCGCTTTTTGCTCCTTTATCTCACAATTGTAAAGGAATAATACATTGACGAGTTATTGTGATCCTTTTATTATGTAACTATTAAGACATACATATATTATAAAAGAGCACTATACATATAATGATTATGTAAATTAATTTTATTCACAAAAAGAAAAATTATCAATTTTATGCGGAATATATTGTATCAACACAAATGATTTAATGTTGCATACATTTTGTTATCTAAATCTACTTATTATTTGAAAAACTTGTAAAATTCTCTTAAGTATATAATGTATTTTATACTAAGATAATGTCAGATACTACACATAATTCGTAATTCATATGAGAAATAACAGAAATTCGTTGGTCAGCAGAAAGGATTCTCATTACTGTTCATGATTCATGGTCTGCTATCTGTATAATGTAATTCTGTATGCGAATTGATCGATTCATGTTTCTTAATTTTATCTCGAGAAATCGTTTCACTGACAAATATTGAGAGACTGAATGACGACTTATGAATGAAAATTTGACAAGATTATAAATTAATCTTAATTATAAATTAAGATTTTCATACGAATATCGTCATGAATTATTTATAAATTCCACATCTAATCTTTGATTTAGGTTTTTTACATTCACTCAATTTGATTGTTTCGAATTTTATTCTTTTGTATATAAACTATGTGTAACACATTTTCTTCTTTCATAAGCCTCTTTTAAACAAAATATTGAATGTTTATACATATTTACTATAACTAATTTTATTTCAGAAAGTGATTAATAATTGTAGATATATATATGTACACAGGTATGCAATGTACACACTTGTGAATGACTTACAGAAAAACATTTCAAATGATTCTAAGCAGCGTCTATATATTTTTGTATCGGTCAATATATCTCTTTTAATCATCCTATAGGAATTCATCTGGTTCTCGTGGAGCATCAAGATCTCGATAATGTATGACTGGTCGAAAATCGCCACTGCAATATTAAATATTAGAAAAAAATTATAAAAATCGATATTATTGCATATATACAACACACACACGCGCGCGCGCACACACACACAAAACTAACACACCAAATAAATATAATAATAAAATACATAAATAAAACAATTCTTAAAAAGTATATGTAAATTTGTTTTTGATTCTACTATATTGTATGCGTGTATTTATATGTATGGAAGATGTATGTACATAAAAATTAAAATTTTCTTATGTGGCAACTATACAATAAAGTTGGTTGAAAAATTGCATGTATTATTAAAAATAATTAAAAATTCGTATTTTTTTCCCTTCTTTATGCTACACATAATGTTATAATAAACTGATATATAACGTCAAAATTTTTGTCATGGACATAAGACCAACCGGACATAGGGTTTAAACGGAAATGGGACAAAATAAAATAACAAATCGTTAGAGTAACACACAGATAGGTTTATTTGTTATTCATATTATAAATTTGCAGCATCAATAGATCCTTGCATTCATTTTAGATGGGACTATATAAAAGTTTATACTTATAATTTTAAAACTATAAATAATAAATACTTATAATTTTAAAACTTTAATAAAAAAAAGTAAAATTTTTTCTGTACATACAGGATGATTTTTTATTACATGTTAATCAAGAAATATTATAGAATTCAAAATGTCATAAGTCATTTATTTATTTAATTATAAGTAAAAAAATGCACCAGAGAGCTTTCTATAATAAATAAATAAAAAAATAGGTTTTAATCATACATTTTCTTTATTTTGGGTTTTATATTTATTTCTGAAAATTATATTTAATTAAAAACGCATCCTATTAAGGTGTATATATAGACATGCACAAGTAGATTTCTTTTTCCATTTGTTTCTAAGTATATAATACCGGATCTTGATGCGCATTAAATAAATTTGATTTATATTATAAATTTAAAAAATTGTGCTAATTTTGTAGTATAATTTTTTGATTGCATTAGTTTTGTTATTTCTTTTTTTTAATGGTGTGTTACCTAATCGAGTACATAAAGATGATATTAGCATTTTTATAATTAGCTTAATCTTGTGGTGAAATTATTTGCGAGATTTCGACAAAACTTAAAACAAGTCCATGTCCGGCTGATCCAAGTCATTATAACTAATAATAGGTCTTGATGTAGAATCCGGAGCAGGCCTGTAAAACATTGCATTACCATGTTCAATATATCAATTCGAACGGGTTAAGATTATATTATCCAATCTTGAATTTTGTTTCAATATAACTTACACCAAAGAAAATTGAATGTTAATCGTGTCATCTTTCTATAAATCAGCCATGCGATTATCTTAAAGTACTTAACTGTAGAGTTTATTAATTGCATTAAAACATAAAAAAGTATTTCTTACCGTCCACGATTAAATCCGCCACGATTAGAACGTGGAGCACTAAATCCAAATCCGCCACCATAACCAGAACCAAAATTGCTCCTGTTACCGCCAAATCCACTATTGTAACTTCCGAATCTAGAAATATTTGTGGATGTTTGCGTTGAGTACCTTAATGACGTTATTTCATGTTATTTCAATGTTATCGTTGATAGTATTTTACAAAATGTAAATAAAATCGCATTTTTATACTGTGTACACTACACACGCATGCATGCATGCACACACACATCGTAATAGCATTTATTTCGTAAGTATTTTTAATTACCAGTAACTCTCTTGTACTTACGAACTGCAACCATATGGCGTAAAATTGTCCCGTGATCCTTCTCTTAACGGAGCCTTGTTGCCAGGATGCTCAGGAAGCTGAGGTCTTTTTGGATCTTTTAAATAATTGTTAAAGTACTCAGCTTCAGCTTTCACTTCAGCAACTTTCTCAGAATGCTTATTGAAGATATGTTTACGGATAAAATCAGGTCCTTTAAATTTTTTTCCGCTAAGAGGGCACAACCATTTGTCTTTTGACAATTCTTGGGTGTTGGCTTGAACAAACTTTTCAACTTCACTGTTTATATATTAAGGAAATATTGTTTAAACCACGACGAAAAGTATAAATCTGAGAAAATGATGATTAATTTAAACCAGAGTTCAAGACGTGTAATTCTGAATATTGGCTTAATGCGTGTCAGCGTTTACGCGTATTGTCTTTCATTTTCTTAAGACATGAAAAAAGAAAAGTGGTATATGCATCAATGCCGATATATGTAAAGTTAACTTAGAATTTTGAACTGTATTGGTCATTTTTCAGATTCATGCTTTCTATATTGTATTGTGTTTAAATATAATAATAATAATAATAATAATAATAATAATAATAATTAAAAGCACATAGAAGAAAAGGATACGCTTCAGCATTTTTCGCGCCTAGTTTCTCGAAATCTTCGTTGGATAAAGTAACAATTGGTTGTAGAAAAGCAGACATTTTGCTTTCAAAGTTGCGACAATATTCCGATAATTCTGAACTTGAGACCTTGGCGGTGGGTGGACATCCTCTCACATGCATTATTCCGCATCTATTTGGCATCTCGTCCTCGTTTGGATACTCGCAGTGATTGTAATAATCAACGGAATGAACAATCCGCAAGTATAGCACTAATCTATCTAATACCTGTGAGAATGATATAATATATAATATTTTATTAATAAATATAAAATATAATATATTACGTACTTCATCAAATTATTATTTATGCTTGATCTTTCGCTATATTATTTAAGTTTATTTAATTTACCTTGATTAAAACTGGATCTCTTTCGATTGAACTATCTCCATCGCCACCTAACTGACCTTCTTCTTGTTCACCTGACATACCTAGTAATTCTTCTTCTTCAGCTGAAGCTTCTTCTATTAAGTAGTCTGTTATGTTTTTCAGTACTGGATTTTTAGATGACAATCCGAAAGCCTAAAATGCCATGCAAAATTTCATATAATTGTAAGTCAAGATTTCGTTTCTATCGATAATATATATAAATGCAAATTTTATTTACAGCTTGTTCAACCTCGTTGCTACTTTGAATGGACTTATTTTCTTTGTCATCTTCCTGTTTTATTGTGTTTTCATCTTTCTTTTCTTCTCTCCATAGTCCCACTTTATTATCCAAATTGTGAACAATTTTGGCACTAAGTTTAATATCATGTCTAACTATTTGCTTGTGAGATGTTAAACCATTCACTGATCGAATACGTCGTGATAGGTCTCTGTTTACTATTGCACCAAGCTCACAATCACGTAGCTATGTGAGAGATGTAGCAATTAAAAGTATTCGTTTCTTTTTTTTTTAAATAACAAATGCACGTACGAATCAACTTACTCTAATGTTATTTAAACTCCAGCAGATTTCTTTGATGTTCACTTGACGTTCGAACGAAACCCAGCCACGACGGAACCATCGTCTTTCCGGCTGTGGATCTGCTATAGCCACACGTAAGAATCCAGGAAATCGCTTGCACATCTATTCGTTAAACATAATTATGTAATTATATTATGTTATAAATGTCGGTAATCATCATTAATGCAAAAAAATAGCTCAAAATAAAAATGTAAATTATTTAAACATTGACAAAAACTTTTACAAGATTTATTATTTAAGAAGATTTCAACTAACAGCTTCAACTTCTGCCTTAGTAATGGTCGGTGCCAAGTTACGAAGAAAGATGCTACTAGTTTTGTGCAAAGCTCTAGGTTCTTTCTCTTTGTCTTCACTAGCTAAATCAATTACTGCTTCTGGTTCAATTGTAGATTTTTTATTATTTTTTGCTTCCACTTCTATTTTAACTTCCTGTTTTTCTACTTTAACTTCTTTTTCATCGGCATCTTCATTACTAACTTCTAATTTCTCGTTAGCAGCTGAAATAATAATTGATTTACAAAAACAAATATGAATATTATTCTAATGACTGATCACTGAAGAGGACCGACATTAAAGATCGAAACGTTTGATTATATTACTTGAATAACATGATTGTTAGCGCACATTAACTAGCCAAGCTCTGATAGTTCCTCACGATATATATTTGAATTATTATTCATTAAAGCTTATTTTAATACATTATTAAATTACAAATACGAATATTATTTTGATGATAATTCAACATTTTCACAAAGCATATAAACTTAATTATACTTACGCATTTCTACTTTCGGTGTATCCAGTTTATTACTGTCACTACCAGAGGAACTACTGCTGTTGCTGCTACTGCTGCTACTATTACTGTCGGTACGTTTACGCTTTCTTGATTTCTCCGATTTTTCCGCTGTAAAAAAAATAGTTTATAACGTATGCAAATAAAAAATCTCTATATAAGACAAATATTTTTACATACGAGGCTTATCATTATCAGCAGTTTCTTCTAAATTTTTATTTTCTTCATCTTCGTTTTCCTTAATTTTGTTAGAGTCAGATACTGCATTTTCATTTTTTACTGTGTCTTCAACTTCCATATTAGCATTTTGGTCATTCTTCGGATCTTTTTCGTCATGTTGTGAGTCATCCATCTTGTTTTCCTCGCTAAAAATAAAGTTAATAGCATAATTAATGTTATTAATAGTATTAATACATTATTTCTTCATATTCCATATATCTTTTTCAAAATATCTAATATCATAAAATACCTATTTTCAGATT